ATAAAGGTCTTTTAAGGATTATAACAAGGAAAAGCAGTGTATCTCCCAAGGAAGAGGAAATAGAATGTATTATAGTGGTGAGACAAAGGTGAAACTGGAATAGTAGAATTAAATAAGAAGGGGATGGAGGAAGAGAAAGGGGAGAAAGTGAGATGGAAAGACTAACGCCAAAGGCTATTTAAGCCCATAAGGAAACCTACCACTGTAGAGGCTTCCTAAAATACAGACACATAAAAAAGTAATTTAAATGGAGTCACCAAACAATAGAGAAGACAATCCCCAAATGGAGATATGATGCCATTAATAAAACCTAAAATGCCAGTATTTAGGTTACATCTTGATGGATTGTTGACCAAGGGGCCCAGTGGAAAAATGCAAACATCAATGGTTAATTTCAAGGCTCTCCACAACCTGATGTTAATGTCCTATTGCTGAAGGCAACATTTCAGTATGCCATCAAAAACAGAGAAGCTGAGCTCGTACCTAAATAGAACTTCTACCCCTGTTTACCAGCATTCAAGATATTAGAAGATACTTTGTATAATGCTAGAGAAGAAATGTAAACATTGATGTCTCCTAGCTATAAACACTGGGACCTATAAGAGAGAATTCCCTGCAAGAAATATTGGTGTCATTGTGGCACAAATGTTATGGGAGTAACCAACCACTATTTGACTCCATTTGAGACCCACTGTGTTAGATAGAACCCATACCTGACAATGCTAAAGTGGTCAAGAATCTCTGATTTGATGGGTCATGGTTCTAAGGGAAAACCTAATACTATTATTCTAACAAGACAACATAGCAATGAACAAACTTGTAATAGCATACTGATATACCAATACATAAGTACCTCATTCAGTCCTCATTAAAAAGGTTTTCCCTTACAGTAGATTTGAACTAAAACATAGACCCACAATGGGACAATGTGTAAAAAAATGGAAGACTTTGGAGCAATCAGTCCTAAGTGGGGTGTCTTCATCAAAGCTTTCCCATGATATTCATGCAGAAAAATTTTAAGATCCAGAGGAGATTGGTGACTCCAAGAAAACAGGGTCTTCCATACATTCCAGGGCTGGCACACATATGAGCTCAAGGCAACAGGTTCAATACCTACATGGGTTCATGCCCAATGGAGTTCTTGCACTGAGTGCGCATGGACTTCCACCACTACCAGGAAGCTATTTGCAATTAACACATGATTGGTATTTTCTCCAAAGGTGTCTCACTGTGTGTATCAGCCACTCTTCAGGGAAGGTTCCATCCCCAGAAATAGTTTGACAACACAAAACTAAGTGATATTTTGTAACCTTTTTGTCTCACTTATCTTTGTTTGGGTTCATTTGTTATGTTTTTGTATTGTTTTGTCTGCTATGTCTTTTCATTGCTTATCTTGATTCTGTTGTGGTTTTTTATTTGTGTGTACATATGTGTGTGGTCTCATTGTTGATATTTTGGGGTTTTGCTTTAAAGAGAGAGAGAAACGACATAAAGTTGAGTGGGTAGGGAGGGAGGATCTAAAAGGAATAGAAGGAGGCAGAAAATACGAAAGAATTTGGATATCTTAGAATAATCATACAAAAGAAAGATAAAATATAAAATTTAAGAAACTACGTAAGATTTCTTACTAGTCTCTGAATGAGTAAAATCTTAGTTCCTGCTACTGCAAGTATTTAAGACAAAATCTAAAACCAAGCACCAGGTGTGTGTGTGTGTGTGTGTGTGTGTGTGTGTGTGTGTGTGTGTGTGT